GCAGCAAACCCAGAATCTAGGATTGGGAAAGGGCTGGCAGGTACAATTGGTGGGAGCCCTGCATATAGTGTTTTGTTACACTTATAGCTGGACACTGGGCGACTGTGGAGCTGAACTGTGAAACAGTACTTTCTTTAGACAAAAATCTAGAAGTCACTTCATTCCTCTTCATAGAATTTCCTGGCATCTGACTTGTACATTCCACCATAAAAAGAAGCAGTGCATGTGTTTTCTGTTTCCTTGTCTGAGTAGTTTAGAAGGTCACAGCTAAAGGCGATGCTTACATGGTTCCAACCTAACTTACGCTGATGTGTGATGCCACATACTTTTCCATCAGAAAAGTTGAAGGATCTAGGAGTGTAGTCTTCGTGAGATGTATTCATTTAATCTTGAAAATGTTTCCACACACTTAACATTTGCTAGTGAAAACTAAACATTGTAGATGAAATAAAATTTTTATGTAGTTATTTTTTAAGTGCTTCTTTAAATCACTTCTCATGAAAGGAATGTCCCTTTGGTTTTTTGGGGTTTTGTTTTGTTTTGTTTTTTAATGTAATGATTTCACAGAAAGCTTGGATTCATATTTTGTTTATCCTAGTAGTATTTCTACTTTTTGTAAATCACTGTCCCATTATCATTTTCTGAAGTCTATATTTACCACATTAATTTGAGGTGCCACCTTTATCACAGACCAAATGTTTTTAAATTTTTAATTGTACTCTGTTGGTTTGTCAGTCTTTGTATTTACCCTATTAGAACCACTGACAATTCATAAATTAAGTAAAAATATTAATTTATTAAATGCCCATTAAAGTATATTTTTCGTACTAAGACCATCACTTGTTAGAAAAAGTGAAAAAAGTGTCCTGTCACAGTGTAATTTTATTTGGCACCTATTATCAAGATAAAGAGAAAGGAAAAATAAATTATTCATATATAAATTCCAATTATATAGAAAATAGGAGGTGACATATCAAGAACAGTGCACTGGGTCAGGGTCAATACCATGTGTTCTGCCACCACCAGTGAACAAACTACAGTCTTGTCTCAGTTCCCTCCTTTTTAGAGTAAGACCTCTGAAATCCTTTCTCTGGATTATCCTCACAGATTCTGGAAGCTCTACTTAGAAATCAAGCAGTTCCATTTGGGTTTTTGGCAGAGTAAAAGGACTCCTGTCTATCTGGTTCATGTTGATATGAGTTCTAAAAACTTAGGCATTTTTCAAGACTGTCAACACCATGACTCACTTCATAAAGTTATACATGAAGAAAAATTTAAAACTAGTCAAAAAGTTTAGACAAAAGTGACCAATGACTGCTATTTTAGTGTAGTAATATTCACTTTGGGAAAAGGATTTACTACTGAGACCAGGAATAAAGGTCCTTAAAATGATTCTGTCACCTAGAGATAATGTATTATCAACGTCTTCAGTTTTTAAGCCTAACTACAGCTTTAGCTTTTGCCTTTCACCAATACAGGAAAAAAAAGTGAAACTCCATGGGTCTTTCAAGTACAGTGAAATTGAAAAGCTAATGTGAAAAGTTAAGAAATTAATTATCACAAATTTTCTTTATGTGAAGAAAGGCGTTCATATATAGGGCTAAATGATATTAGTATCACCAATTTAAATGATAAATAACTTTAATTAAACTGGAACCCATCAGTTTGTTTTCTTCTTTCATTTACCAAGTAGGAATTTGGTAAATGAGAACTAGAGCGAAATGGTTAGCTCTGAACTTCTCCTGAGGCTTAGGCGCTAATAGCAGATAGACAAGCACAGATATATGCATATATGTAATCTATATGTGTGTGTGTGTGTGTGTGTGTGTGTGTGTGTATATATATATATATATACATATACATACATACATACATATACATGATGTATGGTATGGAAATCATTAGTTTGAGGAAGCCTCTGACCATGCATGTAATGCAAAGCTTGACAAAAGAGCAGTCGGGTTACACTAAAACCTAAGCCCTTGGGGCAATAATTTCAGTCTTTTACTGTTTTATTCATTGGCAGTATCACATCTGCAGAGGCATAGTAACAGTGCCTGACCAGGTTAGCTGCTCAGAATATGTTTAATGAATGATAAGACTCCTTGTATGCAAATCCTGACTATGTCCTCATTTATTAACATGACTTTAGACAACATGTACTATCCTTCTGTGCTTCTCTTTAAAATGGAGATATCGAGGGGCTGGGGATTTAGCTCCGTGATTCTGGCGCCTGCCTCAGAAGCACAAGGACCTGCGTTCTATCCCCAGTACCTCCCCCCAAAATCTTTTAAAATGGAGATACAGGTGAAGTTTTTGCCACATTATTAAAAGTTGCCATTGTACCTACTGAAATAGTCATCATTATTTGCTGTGTTTTGGGTAGGATTTTAATTGGAGTGTGACAGTAATTCTTAGCATTAGGTATTTGATCTTAAAGCACACTTTATTGGAATGTAACTTAAATGTTTTATGGTTTGACTCATCAGGCTTAAACTGTTAAAGCATTTGAGCACATAGTACTAGAAGACCATTCCAAGCCATTTTTGGGTAGCTTCAGAAAAGGATTATATAAGCAAGTTTTCCTCATTAAAGGAGCCATTGATGTAAGCTGTCTCTTGGGCTGTTCAGGATAGGTCTGTTTTACTCCTAAAATAACTTGAAACAATTTTTGTGTCCTCCTGAAAGACATCCCAAATTAAACACTCCAACTTAAGACAGAATTTTCTTTGACAAAGGAAGTTCCTATTTCTGACCAGCATTGTTTAAGATTCTAGCTTTGCCCTATAACTAGAATAAGATTGTGGGGTGAGTCATGTGCACTGTACAGCACATTACAGTTCTGTACATTTCATAACTGTCGGGTTCTCTTAGTCTTCATGTATATGATTTCCCTATTTCGTACCTATTCACTTGGTCTTTACCTTGCTTTTCTTATTCTGATCTTATTTTTCCTCAGCATTTCATGCATCATGTATTTTTTACTGCAGTGAAAGTATACACTTATACCATGTAGAATTTGTTGAGAACAATGTGAACATTTTTTATTCTGTAGGTTTAATGTGGTTTGCACTTTGATCCACTACATGGAATATACCCGGGTAATGTTCTAATGTACTTAACTGTGTGATCATGTTGATGTTTAGGTTGTCCAGTTTGTTTCAGTTAACAGCACCAGTACAATATGTCCTAGTCATCTTTTTTTGTGTGCATCCTATAGAATATTTGCTTCTTTAAAAATTTTTTTTGTGCTTTTATTCCTCCAAATAAGTTTAAATTATGATTGTAAACCTCAAATTTATTGGCATGTTGAATACATATGTTGAGGACTGACATAACCATTTAATTTTCCCATCAAATACTGAAATGCTACGCAATTCATATTTTTATGTGGACTTAGGAATGCTTTTATGTGGATCCCAAATTAAAAGTTGGAGGAGGTATGTAATTGATTTTCTCCTTTCCCTGGCATTTAGCAAGTGGAGGACTTAATTATGAAGTCTCAAATATATGACCACTGTATCATTTTTGAGAGTCTATCACATTTACACAAAGACATTTTGAAATGTATTCTTAGATTTTTCACTCCAGATAATATAAAGTGTAATTCAAATATATAGTGAATGTTTAAAAATTTCAGTAAACACACATTGTATTTTTCCCCTTCCCCTTGCTTTGAACACACTTACCCACTATTCTTGCCACTTTCTAAAGTTCTGGAAATCCTCTTTGATGAGTAGTATCTTTACAAGGAATGATTAAAAATAAGTGAATAGACTCATAAAAAATTAAATTAGGGTCCTCATCCACCTTTTTCACCAGATCTGGTATTGTGAGACTTGCAGCTCTTCCTCAAAATCAAAATGAACATGAAAGGTGAATATTTCTGTGTAGGATATTGAGATTGAGGGGAGGGTCTTTTTACTATAGTAATTTTTAAAACTTTAAGCATTCAAATTTTTTATCACAGACTGTTACTTGGATAAAAGCACCTAATATGCGCATTATAGAAGGTCTGCATTTTTTGAAAGGTTAAATTAACCTTGTTTTATGGAGTTGTCATCAGCTTTGAAATTTTCAGTACATGCCCCGTGATGGAGGGCTCGGGCCACATGTACAGTGATGGTCTTGTAAGATTGTAATGGGGCCAAAAAGTCTATTCCTGTCAATTAACTTTTGTAATGTCAGAGCGCATCAGAGTATCATTCATTACATGCTGTGCTATGCTGGTGTAAGCAACCTAAGAGCATTATGTGTGTCCTAGTTTTTTATTGTTTTTTGTTTTGTTTTGTTTTTTGCAGTGCTGAGAACTGAATGTGTCTTAGTTTGTAGACAGAACAAAGCTTATTAAATAAGGACATAAAAAGATATTTTTACATCTGTACAATGTGTTTATAAAGTAGAAAAATTACATTAAGCTCATTATTGAAAATATTTTATAAAGTTAGAAGCCTAAGTGTAACTCCACAAGAGTTTAGAGCAAGGTCCAAGGCCCTCACATCCACTCTCTCTGACCCACTAGGAACAAATTCGAGTCTGGCATGCTCTTTGCTTGGTAAGTGCCCTATCCAGGTGCATCGTTTTTATTCTTTTAGATCATATTTTTATTCTACCTTCTCTATGTTCAGATAAACAAGTATTTATTGTGTTAGAGTTGCTTGGAGTATTCAGTACCATATTTCACAGGATGTATTCTAGGAGCAGTAAGGTGTATACCATGTAGCCTAGGTGTGTAGTTATACTACCCAGTTCTGTGTAAACACTTTCTGTGATGCCTGTGCCATAACACTGTATAATACATCTCTCACAGTGTATCTTATTAAATGATGTGTGACTATATTTGAACTTTTTCAATACGAATGAGGATATAAAAGCATGACTGTCAAATGTGACTGATAATCATTTGTTATGGGAGTATCTACAAAATCTTTTCCAAATGTTGCTCAATATTATCTTTTTTCTAGGAGTTTTTTAAATGATTTTTATTTTTCTGTTTTCAGAGAAAGTTTCACTGTGCAAATCTGACTTCATGGCCTCGCTGGCTATATTCATTATATGATGCTGTAAGTAACTTCCTTAAGCTGCTATCTATGGTAAACTGTGTCATGATCAAGGTTAACTAAAACAAAATAGGTTTCATGTTGTTATTTTTACAACTGGTGCCATTTATTATATTTAAAGTAACAGCAGGCAGGAGTCAGAGGTATTGCTGGATATTCTTTGTTTCTCATTTATATTTTTTTAGTTTTTAATGTCTTGAAAGTTAAGGGCAATATGTGAGATGTTTATGAAACATCTGAAATCCCTTTGGGTTGAGTGTTCATTGTAGAAAATTCTTACGAGTATTCTCTAAATAAGTAATATTCCCTTTTATCTCCTGCTTACAAATTAGTCTACTAATGCACCCATTAAATTTTGCTCCTCAAAATTTAACACTAGTCATCATCATGTTTTATGAAACACACAAGAGGAAGGTGGCTGGAATAGTTTAAAGAATCTTGGGTTTAAGGGCTGGCGATGTAGCTCATTGAAAGAGTGCTCCGTTTGCATACAGTGAGGCTCTAGGTTCAACCCTATTAGTACAACACACACAGAGAATCTTGGTTTTGGATAAAAGTTAGGTTCAAAGCTCTCTTTCTATCACTTTGTGTTTGGGGCAAATTCTCAAGTTTGTAGTAAATGAGAGTAGCAGCAGTTACATGTTGGCATTCAACCAGTATTACTCATTTCCCTTAGTGAATCATTTCACCCACAGGTTTGAAGTCTTAGGAAAATTAAACAAGTAGGTTTGGTGTACTTACTGATATATACACTTTGAAAGGAAACTGTCCTGCAGTCGTTTTTGAGTCATTATACAGAGACAGACCTACCCTATCAGAGTACTTTTTTTTAATACCAGTGAAAAGAGAATAGTAAGTAGTAAATAAGTGCCACATAAGTTATGTATAGGTAGCAAATGCTAGTGCAGTGTACAAGAGCTACTGTCATTTGTACTGGACAGGAATGGCATGCATGCTTCCTAAAAAATGAAGAGGCTTTGTAAAGGGAGAAGAGGCCCTATCCAAGCAAGAACCTAGAATAGAGGTTTCCAGATGAAGTGTGTTCACCTGGGACAGACAGCCTGGGGAGGAAGGAAGCACGGGAAGATAACTTTGGCTGTAGGAAAGGAACCAGGGCTTGGTTATTTTTGCAGAAGCACTAAGTTTGGACTAATGGGTCTGAGATTTCATCACATAGCAATAACTTGATGTCATATTAGCCTATTACTTTATTAGCATTTTACTAAAAAAAAAAAAAAGTTGAAAAGCTAACATTTATTAAGTCTGAATTTTAGTATGGCTGCTTTATTTTAAGGAAACCTTAATGGATAGAATAAAGAAACAGCTACGTGAATGGGATGAAAATTTAAAAGATGATTCTCTTCCTTCAAATCCAATAGGTATGAAAGTGTCTTTCTTTTGGCCTTGCTGTGTTGCTAAAAGAAATTTAAGAACTCTTCTAGCTGACAAAAATCAAGTTTTTTGGTTAAATTGGTTAATATTTTAATTATAGAAAGCACTTTTCATCTACTTTAAGCTGTTGAAAAATATATTCTGTGAATACTGTCAGTCAAATTTTCCATAAGCAGCTCAAATTGCATTTAAGTGCTTTTCTAAAACACTTCCTGAGGGTAGAAAGATGGTTTGGTCTTTTCCCTGTTCTTTAAAAGTATCTTTATAAGTGACCCTACCTCCAGGACTTGCCTTATTGGCATAAAATCTCTATAACCATTTAAGTGACTTAAACATGAACTTGATTCCATTTTTAATCAAAAGAAAATAGCTCATATATTTTACTATTCTATTTCAAAAGGATGTCATCAAACGCTTATCTGATTCATAAGTTTAAAACCTGAAAATCCCACGTCTTTTAGATTTTTCTTACAGAGTAGCTGCTTGTCTTCCTATTGATGATGTCTTACGAATTCAACTCCTTAAAATTGGTAGTGCTATCCAACGACTTCGCTGCGAATTAGACATTATGAATAAAGTGAGTAAATATGTTTGTAATACCATTTCCTCAGGCTAGAAGAGTGTCCTCTTGGAACCACTAAGCAACCTCAAGTCCAGTTATGTAGTCACATAATTAAATTTTTTACTTGTTTACATTAAAAGTATTTTACAGTATAGACTGAACATTGCTATGCACCTTTTTGGGGTTAGGAATATTTAACAAGTGTATGCAGATATTCCAAACTTTGAACAAACTCCAAATCTGAAGTACTTCTAGTCCCCTAGAAGGGACAGTCTGTGAAATTTAAACATTTCACTTGGGATCATGCTATAGGAACTTGAGTTTTGTATTTCTCAAATGTGAATACATTTATGAACCTGTGGAAAGTATGGAACTTTCTGGTAATGTCACTGTCTTAAAATTCTAGAAAGTCATTTAGTTTTATAAATGAATATTCAGCAGATCTCAGATTTAAAGTTTTTCTTGTTCTACCAGTAAAACTAAGTTTTTCAGTGGCAGGCAGGAAAGTATGATACTCAGGGAGGCATGCCTTAGAGAAATTTCTTGAGCTATGTAATTAAATAATGAATGCCAATTTTTTCCACTGATAATTTTCTCAAAAATTTTAGTGTACTTCCCTTTGCTGTAAACAATGTCAGGAAACAGAAATAACAACCAAAAATGAAATATTCAGGTAAGATGTTATTTTTAGTATGCTTCTGAATATATCTCCAGTTACCTTAGAATTATGATCAAGTCTGTGTTTTAGCTTTCTGTTATTTCCCTCCACTCAATAAATTAAGGTAATTAACTTTTGAGAAAGGCCATTTTCCAATTTGGGCATGCACAGTAACAATGGATATGTAAGAAAATATAATTAAGGAGCATGTAAAAGTAAAACTACACAAACCTGTTTTCCATTTCTTGTTGAAAATGTTAAGTATTAGAGTATTTTCTTAGTGATTAAGGGCCTAATCTGAATAAGGCGTTGTATTTCAGTCATTATTTGTGTCATATAAAGTAGGGCATGTTTCTGAACACAGTAACAGTGTTTGAGAATTACTTTATGATAAATCCATCAGAATTATAAACCAACAAGGTACAAAAACTGCTGTCTGCAAAGTAAGGAACTGATCAGATAAGAACTTTACACATACGCTGGAGGGTTTTAAAATTAGTACTATTTCCCTTTGGGTCATCATAGAAAATATTCAGCTGAACAAAACTGGGATGTCTGCCATCCTTTTGTTCTAACACTAAGGTTCTGGAATTATCTGAAAGATTAAAACTAGCTCATACTTCATTGCTTAACTTTAGGAAAAAACCCTAACCATTTAGAATTATACTTTTTCTCCTTTTCATGTTATCCTCTATGTTGATCTTTTAGTTTATCCTTATGTGGGCCAATGGCTGCTTATGTGAACCCTCATGGATATGTGCACGAGACACTCACTGTGTATAAAGCTTGCAACTTGAATCTGACAAGCCGGCCTTCTACAGAGCACAGTTGGTTTCCTGGGTAATATATCAGTGGTGTTGCTTTGTTTTGTTTCTATTTTACCTAATTGAGTAGAAAAGTCCAGCTACAGTTGTGGTAAAAATAGGCATGGCATGCATAATTTTATTAAAATGCTGTAGTGCATGAATAGCTAGAAAAATCAATTAAACCTTTAAAATCTTTTCTATAATATGTAAATTAGAGAGATCAAAAGTCGACAACTCTAGTTGTCTTTGAATTACTACAGTTAACCCAGTTATTTTTTTCTGTCACCTCATTGTGAAAGTCAGTTGCTTTATGATTCTCTAAAACTATGTGTGTATCATATTCTGTGATAATACAAAGCTAGAGTGGGTTTCCCAAGCACTAACAGACTAACGAGATACAGACACCATTGAATCTGGCTTTTCTTTTCATTTGCATATTTTTAGCGCAGAGATTCTAACGTTACCTTAGGAAGAGTTGTTGGGAATTTGTTAAGAGATCTGCTCTGTTACCCTCAAGAGCTTGATTTATCTTTTCATCCCAAATTCTGGGTAACTTTTTACTTTGAAAAAGCTAGGCTAGCTGGGCATGGTGGCGCATGCCTGTAATCCCAGCACTCCGGAGGCTGAGGCAGGACGATCACTGTGAGTTCGAGATGAGCCTGGGCTACATGGTGAGACCCTGTCTCAAAAAAACCAAAAATAAAAACAAAAATGAAAAAGCCAGGCTAAGGCGCTGTCCTGGACTAAGGGCCTTCTGACTGGGATTGTCCTCCGATTTGGCACCTTTCTTACAGACTTGTGCTAAATGTAAGATACTGCACCTAGGGGAAAATTGTTGCAATTACATGGCTGATTTACCTTAACAAAAGTGCCATGGATTTATACTTCTGGACTGTCTTATTTTATAATGGTAGTTTTAAAATCTTACATGAAACATCCCCCTGCCTCATCTACTGTAACTCAGACAAAATTGTGTATATTTCTACAGGTGACTGCAGTACAAAACAAAGGAAAAGCCAATGAAATACAGTAACAAGGTTCTCTGTGCAATAGAGAGAAAATTTAAACATAGGTTTAAGAGTAAATCAAATCAGATTCATGACCACTTAAAAGCTATACATTACCATATGAAATGCACAAATGAGAAAATATTTTTACATTTCTTTTAAGTAACTCTGGATTAAATTATGGGCCCAGTTTATTATTTTAATGCTTACATTCTTAAAATTTGACTGAATTTCCTCTAACAGGTTTATGATAAGTTTGGGTATAGAAATATTTTCTTAGCTGGTATCTTTCCATTATTTTGTAGGTATGCCTGGACTGTTGCCCAGTGTAGGATCTGTGCGAGCCATATTGGATGGAAATTTACAGCCACCAAAAAAGACATGTCACCTCAAAAATTCTGGGGTCTAACTCGATCTGCTCTGTTACCCACAATCCCAGACACTGACGATGAAATAAGCCCAGATAAAGTAATACTTTGCTTGTAATGGAGATGGTAGGGATACAATTACCGCCTCTGATACACATGTAAGTAAAGAGCAACATTTACATGGAGAGTTATAGTTTCCTAGTTCAACTGTATTTGAAGATTTAAGTTCAAGTACCCCTTTAGAGAAACTAAAAATCATTCTAGACTACAAGTTGAGTTTAAATACTTTAGTAGCTTGGAGCCATGATCCTGTGGAATGTGCTATGTCTGAAAACGCCATTTTTAGGACATCTTTGAAAGCAATGTTACTGTCCAGTGCACAATAAATTAATCATCTGATCCTCTTTATGAAGAACATACTGGGCCTCAGTATTGTCAATGGTGAAGTTCTAAGAGCTAGGGTGCCAAGTACATGTTTTTTGTTTGTTTTTTGAAAGAGGCAAGAAGTTGTACATTATTTTAAAAGGACTTTTGTTATCTTTAGCTTCTCTGACAATGATTTGTAAATTTTCAAAATTTAAGAGTAAAATGCACTTTGAGCCCAAAAAGTTTTTATTTCCATTGTGTACTTGAAATATTTGTTCAAACTAGAACCCTAGTTATTACGTTCCATACAAAGCATTGTTTTTAAAACGTCATAATTTGAACCTAAACTCTTCTGGAGCAAATACCAAAACATGTTCTTTGCATACAGGCCAAAAGGGCTACTGTGTTTTGTGGGCTATTTAATGTACAATGAAGAAATTGGGTAAGTAAGTAAACTTTAAGACCAAACCTAAACATCTTTGTTTCAGTAATAAATTTAAGATATAATTCTAGGTAGACTGCTTTGCCACTTACATGCCAATATATTCAAGGGTTTAGTGGGTTGTTTTACATTTGTGCAATTAAATTTAGTTTTGATATTCTGTCACTCTTTACATGCTTCAAACTAATCAGGTAAACTTTTAATCAATCTATAGTATGAGGCCAAAAACAGACTGTTAATTCATAATTTTGGTCAGAATAAGTGGAAAGAAACTCTAGAATAGGTAGTATGTTGAGATTGTAATTTTTTTCCTATTCTGCCCTCAAATTTACTCCAAATAGATCCCTGGAAGTCCTCTTCAGAGTATAGTGCAATCTAAACCAAATGAACTTGAGAAAATTAATTGCTTTTACCTTTATAACCTCAAGGGTACAATTTCTGAACATTTTATTGTTTACAAATATGACAGAGGCAGATCTCTGAGTTAAATCTTCATACTTCCTATGGAAAATAGTAGAAATACTGTCATATTGGGTTTATATATTTCACTATATTTTATAATTCACTTAATTACTGACCTGTCTGTGTGCAGTTGTTTCCGGGGCTGCCTTTCTTGCAAGTCTGTCACACTTTCTCTTAGGTTGATCTGTTTTTAAATATTGTTTTACCAAGGTCCAAAACTGGGTATTTGCAAAGATGCTATAACTGGCTATGCAGAAATGAAAAACCAAGTATATAATGTCAGAATGTAATAGCTAAAAGAAATATACTTTGTGTTCTATGTCTGGGTTTACCTACTGAAAGGATTTAGGGCATAAATATATAAAGTAACCCCTATACTTTTAATTAGTAAGAGAAGTTAAAATTAAATTATTATATGACCCCTGATACTCTCAAGTACCACATGCACACATTTACTTTCCAAAACCAGAGGGAGTATTTTATTAAAATAATAGTAATCCTCAAGTTAATCCCATAACTTACCAGGTTTTGCGTGCATAGGTAAAGAATCTTACAACAGAAAAGTATGAATGTCAGCCACCCAGGATATACTTGTTATTCATATTTACTTGTTATTCATATTTTATACAGTTTTATGAAAATTTGACTTGACACTTGCTACTTTTTAAAAATCTTAGTACTGCCTTATGCAAAAACAAAATTTTCATTTAGAAACTATGCAGATAGATGGATGCCAACTGGACTTTTCTCAGTTGCAGGTATTCCAAAAGAAGTATAAGATTTTGTGACGTAAATCAGATTATTTACAAAATAAAGAGTTCTTCTAAGGAGGCCCTCCACACTGGCTTCAATTCTGCTAGTTTCTTAAATCATTAAAAGGGATATGGGCCAGGGATTTAACTCAGTGGTTCCAGCACCTGCCTTGCAAGCGCAAGAACCCGAGTTAAATACCCAGTACCAAAAAAAAAAAAAAAAGATGGGGTAAAGGGAGTGTAGACAGTCTTACCAAAATTTCCACTTTTTAATAGCCAAATCTTAGCAATTTTAGGGCTTTTTTATATAACTTAGAAGTTCTTCTTTTTCCATTTGGTAACCACTTTTTTTCCACTGTTCACGCAGTTGTTGTAACAGAGCCCCAATTTCCTTTCCTGAAGAAATGCCCACTTTCCTGATGTCATGGCCACTCACAGGAAATGGGGGGATGGACCACTTCTCCATCTCTTTTAGAAGACTATGCTCACCTTGGTACTTCAGTAGTTCACACACACGGCCAGTTGTATCAGGTTCCCTAGACTAAGGACCAGACAGACATTTAGTTTCTTCACACTTTGAACACTCATAGTTTTATCCTGAGATGTAAGTGATAAATACTTGCCATGAAATTTTTCATTTAAAGTAATCCACAGAATTGTAGGTTTTTGTTGAAATGTTAACAAACTGTCATTTTCTGACCAAACCTAGTATATACTTACATCTATAATGAAGTCTTGATAGGGTTTCAGCGGTTCTGAACTATCTGTTGCTTTAATTAAGTCTTTCCTATTTTTAACTATAAATAAGCCAAGGTTTTTCTCTTCCTTTGAAATCTTCAACCTCAAATCCAATTTTGTGACATCATCCTGTACTTTGAATAATGAAGCCAAAAGAGTCATTGGCTTTGGTGAAAAACCATCAACATTTTTACTGACTTTCTTGAATTCTTCTAAACTTGCATTTGCAGGTAAGCCTGTGGGGACAAAAGCGTATTTTACATGTTTTTACTCAGGGAGAAAATACATATCCTAAAACCAACCACTATTTTATTATATAGAAATGCTCTACTATTGGGACTCATTATTAGCCCAGTCCGATTCTCAGTCTTCTCCACTGTCACTCTCAAAACTCCAGGGGAGTCTTAAAATGTTCTTGTATCCATCAGCAAGTTATATCAGGAGGTCCAGAGAAAATGGTGATGTCAGTCACAAACAGTACTTAGTATAATCAAACACCTTTTTGAATATAAAATATTCATAGCCCTATTTTATTCAAGTTGTCCCAAGTGTGATAAACCATATAACCCCATTGTACTTTGTGTATTTTAAGCATATATTTATTAGTTCATTTCTCTGTATAAGGCACTCTTCTAAAAATACTTTTATTATCTCAGTCTCCTGATGGATTAATTTCTGATCAAAAACGGGGCTGAAAATAACCTAAGTCACAAAGCTGTAAGTGGCACAGCCTTATCAAACTTCAAGAGCCCACTTTAAGCTGTTCCCCATAAGACAAAGATGCCCTTACCCTAATTCATCTTGAGAGTTTTTAAACTACACCATGTCTCTACAAAGAATTCTTTACCTAAATGTGTCACTTTTTTAATGAAATCTTAAACTAGATGTTTCATTTACAAATATTAAAACATTTTGTAACTTGTTCTCACCTATGTAAGGAGCCACACCAAGATCATACATAAGATGAATCAAGTGATTTACATGGTTACCAGTAAGAATTTTTTTCATTTCCACCCAAATCCTCTCTCCTGATATTCCACCCAAGCCTTTTGCATTTTCTGCAATTGCTTCCAGTGTCTCAGGATCATGGTCACCAGGTTTGTCTACAATTCTTCCATAAAACCTGTAAGACAAATACCGTCAAGTATATGAGCTGACCACGAGAAGTCTGTTTTTCATTACTACTGCCACACATACATATTTAATGGGAAAGAAGAAAAGAATTAGGTCTAGGAAACACCTTAGAAATGATGTGGTAAATTCTCTTTTTTTACCACCCTCCCCCCAAGAAAACCCAATACTTACTATTTAAGTAAACTTTTTAAGGTCAGCAAGAACTAGAACCTCCCAGACTTCAATTTCACTTCCAGCCATTGACTGAGATGCACAAAATGGCCAGAAATGCAATTCCTGAATTGGTATTTACAGTAGATGTGTAAGAGTGTCTTTTAACATCACCAAAACCAAACTTAGTATCGTACCTGAACAGTCTTAAATCCTCAAAGTTTGCCTGTCTGTACACATTAATATAAATGTACTGTTGCATTGTAATATATTTCATACAAAGTCACAACTGAATGCCTTACAGTACATCCATTCTACCATTCATAGCCTTAAAATTCATTCATGCTCCAAATTAAAACCTAAATAACTACAACTAAGTCTTGATCTATGTTCTGATACTTGTAGGAAAAACTTCGCAAATACTCAAGTTTAGAAAACAGGATTTACTGACAAAATCTGTTCTGAAATATTCTAAGACTAGTTGTATCAGTGGAAAAAATGTGTATTACTAGAGACAAACCAACCAGTTAGAAGAGTTTCTTTAAAAAAGAAAGTTTGCTAAGGAAATAAGACTATTTTCCAGAATAAGTTTTGCAAACTACCCATTTAACAAGGGTTTAATAACCAGAACATAAAATGAATTCCAAAAACTTGGTAGTGAAAAAATAACCTAATTTTAAAAGTGATCAACAGCCGGGCACTTAGCTCAGTGGATCTGCCGCCTGCCTCAAAAGCACAAGGTCCTGAGTTCAATCCCCAGTACCAAAAAAAAAAAAAACTTTATTAAGAGAAGACATACAAATGGCCAAAAAAGGAAAATGCTCAAAAATGTTCAACATCATTAGTTATTAGGGAAATGCAAGTCAAAACCAAAATGAGGTATTACCTTAAGCTAGTAAGAGTGGTGTTACCTAAAAGACAAATAACAAGTGCTAGAGAAGCTGTAGAGAAATTTCACATTGTTGGTGGGGATGTAAATTACCAAATCCATATGGAAGACATTAGAGAGGTCTCGGAAAGCTAAAGAGAACTGCTGTATGATCCAGCAGCACCACTATGGGTCTCTATCTAAAGAAAATCAGTGCTGAGGAGAAGTCAGCACTCCCATGTTTATTGCTGACACTGTTCACAATAACTAAGAAATGGAAACAAGTGTTACTAAACTAATGAATGAAGAAAATGTGACAAATACAATGTGACACACTATTCAACCACAGAAAAAGAATGAACTCCTGTCATTTTCAATAGCATGGACAGAAATGAATATCATTATTTTAAGTGAAATGAGCCAGGCATGGAAAAAATAGGTACTTAATGATCTCACTCAAAGGTGGAATCTACAAAAGTGGATCTATAGGTGAGAACACAATGATGGTTACTAGTGGCAAGGGATAATGGGGGATGCTAATCAATGGATGCTAAGAGCAAGAAGCTCTAATATACCAATGTAGAGTATGGTGATTGTTATGAGAGAATATTAATATATATTCCAAAACACTACAAGTCTGAATGTTTCCATCATAAAGAAATGATGTTTGAAGACACAAATGCTTAATCTGATTTAAATGTTACACTGTATGTACAGAAACATTGTTATGGTGACCCATAAATATGTAAATTTTGCTTTTATGTGTCAAAAGATAAACATCTTAAAAAATAAAAATCACTGCTACCTATAAAATCACTTATGCATTTCATACTTATCAATTTTATCCAAATTTGAAGTACCTACTTTGATATACCAGTCATTTAACAGGATTTTCTTCTAATACAATTTTCTAGTGAGGTATCAGAGCTATACCATTACATGAGACCTTAAGCTGCACAAAGGCAGACTTTCTCTCATTTATTACTACAATCACTTCACTTAGCACAATGCTTGATATAGGTAAGCGCCCAAATGACATGCTCAATTAAAGAAAATTTAGTGAGGAAAATGGACATTTAAAAATGACTTAAAACTTTCTCCTAGAAAAGATCACATAGAATAAATATGTGGATATTTTAGGAAAGAAAATGGAGCATGAAGTAGTATTTCACATCTCATAAGTCAGAAGCTATTTAGTCATCACGGAAAAAGACATCTGAGATACTCACCACTTTATATACCTACCTGCTGTGTGTTGTACCTGACTAGAACTGTGCTGATACTAAAAATTTTATTTTTGAAATATCTTACCTGAAATATCTTAAAATTCGAAGATAGTCTTCTTGTATTCTCTGTTTAGCATGTCCAACAAATCTGACTTTCTTACTTTTTAAATCTGCATAACCATTAAAGTAATCAAATAAGGTACCATCAAAACCTATTCATTAGAACAAAGGGGAGAAAAATCATTATTAGCAAGACTGACACAAAAGGTCAGCTTAGAACTATGACAAGTGAAAAGTTCAGCAAGGTTAAGTCACAAAATTAAAACACACACACTAATAGTATTCATACTTGTCACTACCAAATGGAAGCCAAAATAAAAGGCTGTCATTACAGTGACTTTAACAAAGACTCCAAGAACAAACTAAACAGAAATGCCCCAGAACTATATGAAGTAGAACAGGGACAAGACATCAGACAAGCTGATTTTCAAATTAATATATAGAAAACCAGAAAAAATAAACTACATTAAAAAAAAAGAAAACTATATATTGATAAAAAGCCACGATACGATCATGCAGAAAATCATAAGCTAAGAGACATTCTAGGAAAAGGTATACATAACTCATCAGAGACAAATTGATAATTTCCATCATATGTAAAAGCTCCTATAAATATCACATAAAGTAGAAAATAGGCTAAAATATATAAAGTAAATAAAAAAGCTGCTTTTAAAATGAAGATTTTCAACTTTGGTCATATGAAATAACAAATTTTTGAAAAATCATTTTTTTCAGATTGCCTTCAGAATGGCTAATATCTAAACATTTGATAACTGTTTGGCAAGGCTGGTAACTCTTGTTCATCAAAAGTCAAGAGAGTGCATCATACACCCTAGTACATTTGTGAATTCTGAACCACTATGAATCTGTTCACAAATGCTGCAAACGAAAGCCCCCACTTATCTTCTCTTGTTAAAGAAACTGGACAAAATATTCATTTAAAAATCTTGGGTATTAAAATATTCATTTTAAAAATCTTGAGTAATTCATCCTAGTGGGGCATTTACCTAGTTCTGAAAATCACCTCTCTTAGGTAAAATCTCTGTCCTAGAGACAGCTGGTCACTCCAGGGACTGAAAAGAAAGAAAAACACTGTCTCAGAGCATTCATCCAAGTGAGGTCAATGGTCCTGTGAGATGCTTCACTCTGGCATCAGGGACAGGAGGCTTTGTCACTACTTGTAAAAAATAACTACTTGTCAGTTTAATGAAGTTTAAAATTGAATGCTCTTTGGTCACTGCAAAAAGAACAGTACTTTCAAACTTAAGACCAAATGCTTTGCTTTATCCACTGTTTTGGTTCTGTACACAAGGGAGAGTGCTAAAAGGGGAACCATCTTGAAATATATGGGAATTTTAAAAGGCTCCACATTTAAAAAGAAAACAAAAAAATAGATAAAAATATGATAACAAAGAAACGATATGGCCTATCTTAATAAAATGTGCCTAATTGTCCTTGATGAGCCTAGAAATGCTGTTTTTCAGTAAATATCTTAATTTGGAGGAAAAAGGAATATGGCAAAAGCAAAAATAATGGCTTGGGATACAAAGTAACCAGTCATAAAAGTCAGAAGTATTGATGCCTGGTCCAATTAGGTTTAAACCTAGTCAAAATAATTAGCTAAAAGTAAGGGTTAGTGAATATCACACATTAGTATATATTCTGCTTGTCTGATTGTCATTCTTTTAAGATACAGGGAGTAACAATATGAAATAAAGTTGAGCTGCAGGGAATAATGTCATGGTAAACAGCATGACCTCTAGAGCCAGGCTGCTTCAGTTAGAATCCTGATGCCACAGTTTACAAGCTGCATAACGCTGGGCAAGCCACCTGTATTAAATAGCAGTACCTGCTTTATAGTGTTATTAAACAGACTAAATTTATGTAATGTACTTAAAAACAGCACCTGGTGCATTATAAGGGGTCAGCAAAAGTTAGAAAACTCTAGTACCAAGAACAGCTTTTGCCAGGTATGGTGGGCACACATCCATAATCCTCTCATTTGGGAGGCTGAAGCCAAAGGATTGCCACAAATTCGAGGCCAGCCTGGGCTACACAGTGAGTTCAAGACCAGCCTGAACTACATAGGAGACACTGTCTTTTTTTTTTTTTTTTTTTTTTTATTAAGTTTGTTGTGTCTTAAAACCTGAGTAATGGGGAAAGAACTCTACAGTGACCCTCGTGCCCAGCACTTATGTTTTTTTTTTTTTTTTTTTTGTTAAGTGCTTTTATTTTAAAAAATAGTACCTTGGAAAAGAGTATTTTGAAAAATATTAGTTTTTCTCTTTTAGATAAGTATGCCTGCAGGAAGCTAGACAAGACTATATACATTACATTAGTTGGAGCACTTTATGAATAATGTAAAAAGAAATAAAACATCCGGGGCTTTGATTATAAAGAGAAAATATGCACCAACTGGGCTCCCTATGATCATAAATTGCATAGCCTTTGGAAACCCAGGCTCACATAATGGCTCTATAATCTAAGCAAAGCTACTTAATATCCACTTTATGAAGTTTCTATGAAAGTTAAATGAGATAGAAATACATCAGATGTCTACTTATGCACCTAAAACCTAAGGTACTCTAGACAAGGTATTTGTTATTAATGTAATCAGAAAGGGATCCTAGAAGTGTCTTCCCCAGCCAATGAAGCAAATCTTAAAGGGCTTACCTGAAATTTAAAGTACAGATAAATGATGAATTATGCACCAAAACACTAACCTAATTCATCTTTCATCACTTTAACATAGAAACTAAGCTACCCAACAGGTTTCATCTCACATGCCAACTTGACTACTGATGTTTCCTAAGATGTGATGCTAAGAAAGGATTTAAGGTTGTGTGTAGGCTCACAATAAAAAGATGCCAAAGTTGCTCACCACTGTACGACAGAAGCCCTGAAGAGAGGAAAGAGTGCATGCATGAAAATAAAGCAGAGGAAAAAAAAAAGACTTGGGGTGTATGTATACACTGTGTTATTTTTCTTATACTGTTTAGATGCAGTTCATAAACTAACAGGCTGTGTAAATGTGGCAGGCACTGTTCTAATCAATGACCATTATTAGCTCCCTTAATCCTCACAACCCTACAAAGGAAACTAACATCAACACCTTCATTTTATGGTCTCTGAGTAACAGTTACTATCTGAGGGATTTTGGCTCCACTGTCTCTTAGAAGAAATTATGCAAATTCTACTTGAAAAGTCTGATAAGAGTGTATTAAAGTATTATCTCCATATATTACCTAGAAACATGGAATTTATAGTCAGATCTCTGCGTTCAGCATCTTTCTGCCAGTCAGTTGTGAACTCTACTTCAGCATGTCTTCCGTCAGTGGTAACATCAATCCGTAGTGTAGTAATTTCGAAATTTTCTTCATGAATCTGCAATTACATAAACAAATTTTTAAAAATTATCTTTGAGTATCACTGGGTGGACTGAAAAAGTTTTTCTCCATGAAGGCATGGTACTGTGAGACCTGACAATTAGTTACATCTTATGTCATCTTAAAAATAACTAGTGTACACGTTGTACAAATACCTTGAATGAGAAAGATAACCACAGTATTCGAAGACTAAAGACTTGCCTGGTGAGCACAATGTCCTGAGTTTGACAACTGGTAGCCCCCAAAAATAAAGATCCAAAGAATGATTTACTTTTAAAAATATTTCACATGATTAAGATGAGTTTGACAGTCTCAGCAACTCTGATAAGTAGTTAGTGGAAAAGAGGAACTCTCAAAGCACTGTATTCTGTCCTTCCATTTAAAAACAAGCTCTTCTCCAAAATAGTTTCTAACAGCTCCAGTTTTCAAACAGCTGAATATCATCTTAGCTAACATATGCCATTAAGGAGAGTTCTGACAGGAGTAAGTACAGGTAATGAACCCTGCAAGTCCTTTACTGGTGCTCACCAAAGAAGTTAAAATGCTACATGTACAGTATCTTGGGAGGAGAAATTGCCTCTAGCTGGGAAAGCTGAGTAGCTTCATCACACAGTGACATATGAGCTGAGCCTTAAAAACAAGTAGGATCTGAACATGTAAATGGAGGAAATATTTCCAAATGAAATATTTCCATCATGAATTTGGTGGAGAAAGAGTATATGTGAAAGAGAATGTGTACCTAACAGCTTGTTAGTGATATTCAGCAAAAACCTTTGTGTTAAGCAAGAATTTAAATCTCTTCATTAGCAAGTAACAGCCACGAATGATCACTAGAGGTATGCTATAAGATTCTTTTCAATTTCATACATATTCTTCTCTAGATAGAATCTCTACCTATATGCCCACTATAGAATTGCAGAAATCACGAATGTGAGACATAAGTATCTATGAAGGGAAATACAAAGAAAGGGTCTGAAATGGGAAACCTGATAATCTTTATAAGACACAATTGTACCTTCCTCTCCAGAATGCCTCCCATACTCAGGCAGAAAACCAGGAATTATCTCTCTGAAAAGAAAAGTAACTAGGCACCCTCAGGCACTTACGATCTTGGGAATGAAAAATGACAATGAAAACAAAATTAAGCGAAAACCAACATGAACCCTATACCTTTTCCCACTTCGTTTTCAAAATGCTAATGAGCAAACTTATCCCCTGGAGTAACACTGGGAGATTCTTCTGTGATTTCTCCTAATGAAAACTTGTAATTCTAACACTGGGAGTCTCAGAACTACCTAACACTTCCCACGCAAAACTACAATAACGTCTTCGGGTCATTTTCCTAACGTTACCGCACTGCCAAAATATGAGAGGCAAAGAATACCCCTACTAATATGAAAGACAGAAAAAACTCAAGAGCAACAAAGATAATAGCCTAAGGAAACTAAATTAGTGCATATGAAAAAGGAATGAAGAGCTTTATAGTAAGTGCCACATAAGGACATTTCAGTCAACAGAGTATGAGGGTGGTGCCAGAGATCATAATGGAGATGAAAAGCTCCTCCACCTAGTGACACTGACATCACAGCACCATAATCATCACTACATACCACACTGTGACACTCATGTTTGTGGTGGTGCTAGTGTAATAAGCCTGCAGTACTGCCAGTCATACAAAAAAGTATATATACACAGTTATGCACAGTATATATTTAACAATTATAAGTGGCTGTAACTAGTTTACTAATTTACTACACTATAGTTTTTATGATTACAGTGTACTCCTTTGACTTACATTAAAAAAAAGTCCCCAACAGGCCCTTCAGAAGGAATTCCAGAACAAAGCCTTGTTATCACAGAAGTGACAGCTCCATATGTCCCATTACCCCTGAGAACTGGGTAGAGGTACAGAGAGGTGAACACAGTGATGAGAATCCTGTATCTGCGGTGGCTTAATGGATTTCTTCATCCTTTACTATCTAACCAAAAGAAGTGTAAAAGAAAAATTAAAAAAAAAAATTTAATAGAAAAAACTTGTAGAAATAGCATATGCAGAATTTTTGTACAGCTGTACAATGTGTGTTATGATATATATTATCAGTCAACAAGGTTTTAAAAGTTTAAACAAAAATTTAAAACTGCCTACCAACAGATTCCTTAGACTATACCAGTATTAAATGACATTTTCAAGACCTACTGAAAATGTAAAAGGCCAAAAAAACTGCAAATATAATACAACAGTTGGGAAATCAAGACATTCTCATGGAATGTGAAAGAAAAGACCTAAGGACAGAAAGTAAAAGAAAAAATAAAACTAGAAGATCAGCCCCTTAGACCAATATCCAAGTAATAGTTTCCAAAGAAAGACATTTTAATCAAGGGGATGGAAATGCAGAGGGCCATTTAAGAGCCTGGCACAATAAATGAAAAAATAAGTTCAACTACAACAAATCACCTTGGAATTAACACCAGAGAGAAACATCAGAAACATTTCCAAAAGGAGAAAACAACCAAGTTTCAAATAAAGGAGAAATTGAAATGGGAAGACCTTCTCCAGCACTAGAAGTAGGCCTGGGAGCTGGAAAACAAAATTTCTAGTGAAAATTACTGCCAGCCTAAAATTCAGCAGCCAACAAATCATCCAACCACTGTGAAGTATAAATAATATTTTCATACATGTAAAGTCTCCTGAGGTTATGGAATATACTAAAGGGAAGGCATAAATGAAGTAAGACCACCCACCTCGGGTTCAGGAAACAGGAGAGAGAATGAAGAAGAGAGGTCAAGAAAAGTCCTAGAAAGATGATATTGGAGCAGGAAGACAAAGCCAGGTGAAATGTGCTCCCCCAACCTCCCCAAAACACAAATGATGTGTTTAAGCATTCAAATATTCAAATACTTCGAGAGGAAGTTTATAGTTCTGGTACAAAGTACAGGAATAAATGAGTGGTTCACGGAAAGCTATGTCAAAGAACAATGCTGTTAATTGCAGGAAAAATAACATGCAACAGAATGTTACCATAATAATACTCGAGACTGCAGCTACAAACAATGGTCATAAGTATACCCTGAATATTGATTCAACCAAAACTTTAAGCTTGAAAGGTAAGGAAAAGAGAAATGCTAAGTAGTTGGTTTTAAGAAGGGGTGTGGTAAGAAAGCTAACTCATCTTCCCACATAGGAAAACACCTTAGAACTGGGAAATTAAAACCAAAAACCATGGCCTACAACCATGTTTTTTTCCTTGGGAACTGTGGTTGTAAGAGATAATCAAACTTAGTTAAAAGCAGCACTACAACATGGAAGGATGCAGGATTTAACATAGTAGAGGACACATTTTTATTAAGCTTTTTGTCATTTGCATTTTAACTAGAAAAATACTGAATTTTTAAGAATGACATAAATGGGAATGCAGTTCATGAATATCAATCACTTTTTACTCACCCTGGCAGTAATTGTTCCATGCTTTTCTCCTTTGTTGTTTATCATCCGAATTCCAGCTGCCTGAAACATCTCCTTCATTTGAGTAGGGGTGGCAGTGGTAGCAAAGTCCACATCTTGAGGCTTTACCTCATTTAATAAATCCCTCACTGCTCCTCCTGCTATTCTTAATTCATGATTCTCTTTGACGAATAATTCTGCAGTGAAAGAAGACTTTATTTCAAAGTGTTTTTAACACTTTAACACATCATACAAATGCAAGGTTCACCATATATGAGAGACAGTACAGATTATTTGTGTTTTTTCATATAAAAATGAGAACAAGATCCAAGATGTGAAATAGCTTTCCTATAACATGATGCCTCTAAGAAGTATGGGAAGTAGAAAATTTGCAGAATTTTTTTGGCTCCTCCAGAAGTTAATTCAAAACTCCACAATGCTTCCAGCTCATCAATACAAATCTTCATTATTACCAAACAGTTAAGGCAAATAGTTTGCTTTCTTTTTTGTCTTAAATACATACTTTAGAAATGGTTATGTATTCTTGCATTTCTCTTTGTGAACAGATGTATAGGTAGTATGCTCATACATGAAACTATAAAAATATCAAACATCAGTCTATCATACCACTTAAGATAAATGTTACAGCTAAGAATCTTCAAAAAATTACCAGCATATATTGTTTGAAACCAATTCATATTTGTGTTCTAGGTAGAACCATATGAACAGGGACATGGCTAACTACATCGCTGACTTCTCCACAGGTACACAACAAAACAAAGAAATGCCACTATACCTGTACCCATCTGACCAAATACCACCAAGTGAAATCTGATGAGAATGACACCTAGAATTGGCCTGCTACTTCAGGTTAAGCCTTAATGTTGCTGTGAGTGGATGTACCACTCACAGCTAGGCCTTGGTGTTCTATGCACCTAAACAATTTCACATATCAGTATCAGACAAAACAAGACAACTGTGTAATCATGTGAACCGAGACAAAAATCTGAACCCTGTCCAAGGCACACACTGTAATACATAGTTAAAGACAGTGAATGTTCCTTACTTACCAATTAGTTCCTTACTTGCACTGTAATCTTACCTTCTAGAAAAAAAATGACAAATCCAAACAATTAATTTTGTTTCCTACAGCCATCTGATTCATTTAAAGCCTCATATCTTAATCTCTGAAACAACCTAATAGAAGCCCAAATCTTCTAAAAGATATTTTCAAAAACCCTCTTATTAAGCTGCTCTAGGAGAGTCCATGGTCAGCCTTGTCACTCCCTGCAAAGAGCAGCAACCCAACTTGATGTGTCCCTGGTGCTCTTTGGCTGGAGGTCACTGATATAAGCATAGCAAACAGCCAAACCTATCTTACATCAGAATTCTAGCATCCTACATCCAAACTCAACTGTAATCCTCTATCCCTACCCAACTTCTTTTCTCTTTTATCCCCATATTCCTTTTCACCTATTCTTCCCAAACCTTTCAGGCCTACTCTCTGCAGACTCCCCATTGCTTAAATATAACAAAGTCTCCCTCCCTCTGCTTTGTTGTCTTACTAAAATCAAGCTCTACCACAAGATACAACTTTCCTTAATCTCACTCTAAAGGAAAGCACTGATAATCCCATCATGCCACTGTTCCAAGTCCTACTCATCTTATGTCCTTATTAAAAAGTTCTTAAATATAAGGTCCCTGATCTTTCAATATAAAAAGTAAAAATCATGGGTACCAGGCCACAGCTTTCTTAAAATGTATGGAGAGGTCCACAACCAAAAATTGACTCTGCCTCCATGCCCCCCAGTCCAGTCTTTGAATCTCCATGCCTGTACTAATACAAGACTCTCTCAAGAGAGTCCTCGTTCCTCTCCCTGTTTCTAGGGCCACAGACCATATTCTCTCCACTGCCTTTAAACCCGGCCTCCAATCTTACCTAGACACAGATACAATTGCTCTTCCTATCTACTCATGTCACAATACTCAAATTCTTTACACAACACACAAAGACTTCCATACTCATCTCTCACTATACCTTGCCTCACACTTTACCTGGCCATGGTTCCTCCTATGTGAGTCACTTCACTGAAAGAGCTTCCCAACTTACTCCTCTAGCTCACTTGTTGTCAATAATGACATTAAGATATTTCTCACAGAAGTTACCAAGTCTTGTGTGCCTATGTGGCAAAGTATCATGAAATCTTACCTTTTCTAAATACTGAGGACTCTATTCTATCCCAGTCTCTATTCCTCTGTTTTTTAAAAATGCTGGTCATGATCTCTAAACTAAGTTTATAATCCATTAATAGAGGTGGAAAAATAAGGATCAAGGTCAGTATTACCTATCTGCCGTGATTGAGTGTAGGAAGCCTCTCCTAAAGGTAAATTTCCTTTAAGCTATCAACTTAGCACACATGCCAATTATAATCACATTATGTCTTTGTCTCCCCACTTCACAAAGTAGAAAAATCTATCATTCATCTTCATACCAACTTGATTCACAATGGAACTGACCTGTGATATTCTAGCTATTCAAAAAACTGGCTTCATTTAAAGTATTTTTTTAGAAAAATTTATCCTTTAAAATACTAATAATCTCTGAAAAAAACAAACAATGCAAAATTATCAAGACAGACCACGAAGAGTTACTCTTTCTTCTCACAGAATGAGAGAGAAAACAGGATGGTGAGAAAGGCACATAAAGAAAAAGTTCAATCAGCCCGACACTATACTGTTGAAACAGGAAGTAATGGCCATATGTGGTTACTGAGCATTTGGAATGTTGTAAATCTGAAATGAGATGTGCTGTAGGTGTTAAATATATGCTAGATTTGAAAGTCTTTTAAGAATATAAAATAGCTCAATAATGTTCATACAAATTTCACATTAAAATATCTTATAGTGGATTAAATACAATGTACTGAAAATATTTATTAAAATTAATTTCACTCATTTCTTTTTCAGTGCAGTTAAGAGTAGTTTATATTACATATGCAGTTATACATTTCTACTGCACTGCGAGTTTATAGGCATTTTCACTCTGATTAAATTACAGTGAAGCCAATAACATACCCAAACTGGTATTTAAGCCCTCTTGCCTGGCATGGTGGTGCACGCCTATAATCCGAGCACTCAGGAAGCTGAGGCAGAAAGAGTGACATGAGTTGGAGGTGAGCCTGAGCTACAGAGCATAGTGAGTTCAAGACCAACCTGAACTGTATAGGGAATCTGTCTGAAAAAAAAAAACTGTCTAACTCAAGACCACCTGAAGAACTTAAAATGATCAACAAATTCTGTACCATTCACCTGATATGAATGTAAAAAGTCACCATCTAATTCGATATGAAAGAAGTCTTGGGAAAAATTTAAGAATATTTAAGCAATGTTTCCTCTACCTTCAATTCATTAGAATTAATCTACAGCGTTTTTATAAAAACTATAGGGGCTTATCCTTCCCAGAGTTTCCAGTTCAGTAGGATGGGGGTAGAATTCTAATATATGAACTTTTAAAAGCATCCCAAGTGGACCTAAGGGACAGCCAGTGTTGCAAAACAATATTCAGGTCACTTGTACATACATACAGCTCAACATATTTCCGAAAGCACCATTGAAGCACCCGCAGGTTTGAAGTGCAGCCATGGACCTCTTTAAACAGCAGCAGCTAAGTTTAAGGGCCAATTGGATAAAACTGTGGCAACAGCAAGTAGAAGCTGCTGTAATTAATTAGGCACTCAGCTAACCCATTTACTGTGTTCCTCCCAGGCAGATTTTACATGTTGCACAAATGAAGTTAATTCCTATTTCCTTTTGCCTTCAGTTGTCAGAAAGCAATTCTACACAGGAAAGAAACAGAGCCCCAATGTTTACAAACTGGGTTCTGACATCAAACTACACAAAATTAAAACCTAACACTCCAGTTATACGCTATGGAAACACAGGCAAAGTACTTCACATTCCTACACATCCGTTTTCATCCTCCACAGTAAGACAAAGTGTCTTACTCTTTATTGGAACTAATCCCCTATGCATGGCCAAGTACACTACTTAACTACAGCATACAAAAAAAGCCATCCTTTTTGCTGAAGTCAAGTTTGTTCCCCCTGAATACTTACCCACAAGTAAGACTTTTTTCATTAGCACGGCAACAAAAATATCTGAATACAGACCGAAAAAAGTAAACTCTGTGCTTCTCCATTTATATACAGGCTTCCAAAGCAAGAAAATACATCCTAATTTCTCTCTTACCTGTCAAACTCTTCAGTCCTTCCGTGAAAAGTGACTGGAACTCCGGAGAATGCAACTTCATTGTAAATAGATAATGCTTCAGAAGACAGAGTCTACTCCAACTACACCTCAGTAATGGCCTGTGCCAAGGATACAGGTGTCTCAGCATCTGGAAAAAGTCGCCCACTACTCATCTGTAAGGGAAACAAGCAGGCCCACCAATGAAACTTACAAATAAAGAAAAATAAATACAACCAGAAAAAATACATCCTCTATCTAGATGAAAAATTGAGTAATGACTTTGTAAAATAACATTAAAAATATGCTTGCAAAGTCGGGTGTGGTGGTGCACTCTTGTAATCCCAGCACTCGGGAGGCTGAGGCAGGAGGATTGCTATGAGTTCGAGACCAGCCTGGGCTACACAGTGAGTTCCAGGTCAGTCTCAAATACATAGTGAGACCCCGCCTCAAAAAAAAAAAAAAAAAAAATGCTTGCAGCCACCCAGTCCTGTTCTCCTAAGGCAGTTACACTCGCATGTCACACTTCACTGTTTTAATACTGTGCTGAGAAGCGGGTATCAGTCAAAGCATGACACGTACAGGGCTCCAGAAAACTAACTGGAAGATTTGCAGCAACAGTTGTTCTCCATTACGCGTCACAGTCACGTATGGATATCACCGAATGCCCCACAGGCACCTGAATTTCATGACTCAAGATTAAGTTCCTAGAATGCGGGGAGGGGAGAGTTACTTTCTTAAGACTGGGCACTGCTGCTGCATTTTCCTCACCCACCCCCCGCGCCTTCTCAGATTCCCTCACACGCGAGTCCTCCTCCTCAGGTGGGCCTGGTGTGGTGGCAACAGTTCTCGTGTGACCCTGCATAAACTGCTGCAGAAGAACCACTCCATTCTTCGGGGAGCAGCTTCGAAAGGGAGAAGTTACCCGAGGAAAGAGGGTCCCTGCCCCACCAACTTCTGCCTCCGCTCAAAAAAGAAAGACCCAGTCCGCCCCCGACAGCCTCGGCAGAACGGCTTTGCGAGCGAAGCCCTCGGGCCCGGACTCCAGGCAGGAAAAGGGCTCCAAAGCCAAGTGACTGCCAGCGGTCCGCTGGGACGGAGGGGGACACGACCTCTACGCTCAGGATCTTTAGCCCACTGCAGAGGCCGCTCTGGGCCGTACCTCCCGCCCCCCTCCCCAAGACCCCCGCCCGAGGACCCCCTGGTCGCGGCGCTAGTCCGCTCTAGCCGGGCAGGAAGCAGGCGCCCGCTTACCGACCCTATGCCGCATCGCCGCCGCGCGCACTTCCGGAGGGCTCGACGCGGTGACGTCACCACGCTCTGCGTTCGGCGGCGAATGGGACGTCGCAACAGGATGTGGGCTGGGCGGAAAAGCAGCGCTTCTGTTACCGGCTCTGGAGCGCGCTGGGAAGGCGGTTACCCTAGGAATTTAAAAAGTACGTTAGTTACTCGGAGTGGAGAGACAGCTTCCAGACTGAGGCTAGTGTGTTTAGGACACGCGCTCTGAGCCCAAGCCCTCTGATCCCTTGAAGTAACAGGGTATATTTTAATTTGCAACTTGTGTGTAACCTGTGATTTTTGTGATATAGAGGCTTCTCAACTGCAATATGAAGAATGTGGTTTTTAGTGCTTTAACAGGAGTGGAGAGGGTGACAAAAACATGCAGATGTTAAAAGACTTAAAATAACGTATGGTCCTTTAATTATAACTTTAAATGACTTAGTTTTCCTTAGAATTTGCCTAGAAAAATGCGCATGCTCTAATATTTCTGTGGCTTTTTACTACCAGATATCTTCAGGATGGATTGAGTTTATTTTACAAGCACAGGACTAGCTTTCAAAGTTGACATTCAGAGGCAAAGCAGTGATTCAATTCAACGCCTTAAGCAAGGAAAGCCTCCCATCCCTCTGTCGCGGGGAGACGCAGGGAGGGGCCCCTCAAGTCCCAGGCCTGACTCTCCCAGACAATGCAGAAAGCTATGGAAGAATCAGACCGAAAGCGTAGAAATAAAGTTGTACTTTTATTCAGCAAACATGCAAGAGTACAGCTGCCTTCTCTGACACAGGCAGGGGTGCCCTAAAGGGAGCCACTGTTGAAGTGGGGGCGCTCAAGATCTTGGTTTTATAGTAGTTTGGGTCCTGTGCTGTCTCTGGGCTGAGGTCGCCCCTACTTAATTGGTTAATTGGTTGACTTAGCTCATTACTAGGAACAACAGGGAAGGGTCTTTTGGGGGCCTTTTAAACCTTAGGATCAAGATTTCCTTTCGCTCTTTCAAAGCTTTGCAGAGTACATCATGCAGAGGAGGTGCACCACAGACTGTCAGCTTTTCACGGGTGGGTGGTTAAGCCTGTTCTACCAACGGTGGGGGTGTCTCTTATCTCTTCCTGTCTACCAGTCTCTATTCCTATACCTCTTAGCTTTCTCCCATTTCTACCATCAATGTGTACATACTGGACAATTTTATGACAATTTGTCAACCTACATGAAATAGGCATTTTCTCTATAAAAAAGATATCTTACAACCGAAATGGCATAAAAATATAAAAATCTCAATAGTGCTTTTCTTTTTAGATTGAATTTTGTGCAGCCAACATCCCATAAAGATAATTCCAGGTCCAGATGGTTTCAATGACTACGTTTATCAAAAACAAAAATAAAAACACTGTACAAATTGTTTCTAACATGGAAAAAGGAACACTTTTATTCTCAAATTGAGAAAAGCATAACCCTAATAGCAAACATGGCATAAGTAATTTAAAAAATTAATTTACAGATTTAATACCCCATATCAACATAGAACCAAAAAATATTCACAAGTTGACTCCAAGAATAGACTGCATCATTTTCAATGTGGGTCTTGTAAGGTTCAAAGACCAATCACTGTAATTCACCATAAACAGAATAAATCTATATGATCATCCCAACATATGCAGAAAAAGTACTTAGAATATAACACCCATTATTATAATAACTGTCACAAAATTTAAAAGGATTCCCTCAATATGGTAAGGGATACCTGTGAAAAAGCTTCAGGGAAAATCGTACTTAATAGTAACATTTTGATCACATCTGATCACATTTCTAACATGAGGAACAAGGCAAGGATGCCCTGTACCACCACTTATTTAAAACATACGACTGTAGTTCTCACCATTAATACAAGAAAAAGAAGAAAGTATAACAGTGTAGAAGACAGTAAAATCTCTTCAGATGACATAATGGTTTACATAGAAGTCATAGGAAATAAGCCAGCTAATATATATAACCAGTAAGTTTAGCAAGGGCTCAGTATCCAAAGATAATATACAAAAATCAATTCTATTTTTATATACTACCAGCAGTTACAAATTTTATATGTAGGAATAAGTAATGAGAAGATAGTTGGTGGCCAACCATGTGTAAAGTTATTAAATATCACCAATCATTTGGAAAATACAAGTTAATGACATAATGAGAAACCATTACAGACCTACTAGAATGCTTAAAACTGAAAAACCAGCAATTCCAAGTACTTGAGGTTGGGCAGAAAGTAGAAGTCTCATATAATGCTGGCAAGACTGCAATCTGCTACAGCCACTTTGGAAAACAGTTAGTGGCTTCATATAATGGATAAGTAAATTAGTGAGTGTTTCTAAAAGGCAATACTACTTGACAAAAAGAACAAACTAATTATACGTACAACATGTCTGACTCTCAGGTGAGGAAAGCCAGGGTCAAGAAGCTACAAAAACTATAATTCCATTTATGTGACATCAGAAAAGGGCAAACTACAGAGACTGTAGGATTCAGATCAGTTCTTTTCAGGAGCAGGAGATGGAAGAAAGAGTCCACTACAAAGAAGCTTGAGAGAATTTGTAACTGGGAGCAGGATGGGGAGGTGGGGGTGTGAGGCAGTGACAGAGCTGTTCTCTATAGCTTGATTTGTGTGGTGACTACACAACTATGTGTGTTTGTCAAAATACAACAGTACAATGGCTGGGGATTTAGCTCAGCGGTTTGGTGGCCTTCCTTGCAAGCGCAAAGACCCAAGTTCAATCCCCAGTACCAAATAATAATAATAATAATAATAATAATAATAATAATAATACAACAGCACACTAAAAAGGGTAAACATTGCTGTATGAATTATACCTCAAAATAGCCCCCAAAATAGTTTTATGTAGCAGCTAAAGTCAATAAGAATATGAAATTTTTAAAAATGCACTTAAGGCTCTCAGGAAATTCTAATACTGACTCAATTATTAAACTATGTACATGTGAAAGATGAGCACCCTTGAATGAATTAAAGAGGAAAAAGCTACAGCTAATACCAGAGAGCCCAGGACCCCCAAGTGACCCCCCCACACAGCATACGGTGATGTGCACGTTTTCTCCTCCACACAAAGTGCTCCTTGTTAATACAGACCAATCCTAAGGGAAATAAAACTTCACTTTCAAAGGAATTGGCATTTTAAGAACAAATCCCACTAGACATATTGTTTGGGTATGTACTTTATACTCAAAAGTAATGATCATAGACAAGGAATGCTTTTGATTTGTTTTGAGCAAAGGTCTTGCTATGTGGGTCAAGCTGCCTTTGAACTCCCTATGTAGCCAAGCCTGGCCTGGAACCCACAGCAATCCTCCTGCCTTGGCCTGTTTAAACTCTCGGATTACAGACACGTACCACCATGCCTGGAAAGGGCTGCTTTAGTCTGGCAGGTTTGTGACATTCAAACATTCAAAAGAAACATTAAAGTCATTAATACTCTTCTTCAGTGAGAAATCAACATAATATTGAGAGAAATTCAGGAGAATGAGATAGAAAGAAACAGATTAGAAAGTATAGCAGTATTAGATAACACAATTTTAAATCTTAATAAATGCTTATGTGAATGAACTTCAGTATTTGTTAAGAGATTTCTTCAGAGCCCCCATCTTTTTTCAATGTAGACCACATCTTAGTCCTTGGTCTCTAAGCATCTAGTTGCCAAACGTGTTCATTTATGTTTTGGGTGTGCTTCTGTGAAACTAATTCATTTCCGCACACTAGAAAGAGAAGCAGTGGTGCGTGCAGAGCACCTGTGACTGCGACGCTGCTTCCATCCAACCATGTTTTTTAAGGGCTAAAAATATTTGAATGGCATGGTGATACACTTTTGTAACAATTTACATTGTGTTTAGAACAGTACCAGGCATTTTACCCATGACTTGGTTAATCTTAAATACTCAGGGAAGTGGTTCATGGAATATGATACTAAGGACTTATTTAAGGTCAGAGACTCAATGGCTTCCATGCAGTCTGCCTCAAAACTACTGCTGAACACAGATAAAGCTGGAGAAGTCCCGGGGACCAGATCAGGTAGGGTCGGACACTTCACATTATGACAACTGGATTTAATTTTAACTGTAGTAAGACACGTTTTTGTTTAAGCCAGCATTTTCATAAATTGATCTGTGCTTGTCAAGATTGAGTGCAGTGCAGAGATGAACTGGAAAACAGGCCACAAGCCTAGGGCAGTTGTCTTAATGATAGTCGGTCAGGGCGATGCCACTGGCAGGGGAGAGAAGTGAACTGAGACCCAAGTGAAACAAAACAGGGGAAGACAGAATGGAAAGAGGAAATCCCAGGAAAATCCTGCAATGGCTGCTGTGACAAATGGCCATAAACACAGAGGCTTAAAACCACGTAACTGTATTACAGTATCTCATTGTTCTGGAGGTCAAGACTATTATGGGTCCACTGGGCAGGGTTCTTGCTGGAGGCACTTAAAAGAATCTGAGTTTCCTCCTGCCACCTGCTTATGAGGATCTTGGTGCCAAATGTGGGTTGGATACTCCAGCAAAATCTTCCCATGGAAAGATCCTCACCTTAATCATATCCACCATGTAAGGCAACTGGTCTCCGGTTCTTAGTTCTTGGGTCTCTATGTGGGCCAGTTGTCAGCCCACCAAACTCTCCAAGTGTGTGCTGTAGTAATTAGGTGGATGGGAAGACAGAGGAACACCAAAGAATACTGTGTTACAAAACAGAACATTGACTGCATCAGCTTCAATACTGAGGACACACTACTCTTCACCTTTTTGAAGTTTAGGAGAGTGGTTGGTTGTCAGGTAGAAACACACGGCTGAACAGAAGTAGCCCCATTAATCAGCAGGATAACTGGTCTCTGATCTGAGTTCTCAACCTTGCCTACCATCATCTCAGGGCCCCTTCGGCCTCAGCTCTCTTTTAATATCAGGGTTTCTAGAAGCA